GTGGTGGAGGTGGAGGTGGGGGTGGATTAATTATTTTATGGTAGAATTAAATATTAATAATAAATTAATTTAATAATTATTATTTCATAATTAAAAATTGGAAGAAACCTGATTTTTGAAAATTTGAAAAGTGTTTTGGTATTTTTGAAATGGGTAAAAGTAAAAGCATGATTTATGTATTCTTCCCATAAAAAAATTACCTCTAATTTGAAGTATTTTCCCATTCAATCTCATTCAAACTTTTCTTCACATCCCAAATCCAAGTTTTATTTCACTGTGTGTCTAGAAATTGATACCAAATCGCGGTTCAACATTGGCTTCAAGCAAGAACAAATACCCGATCGAAGGTTCACAACAGGCAGCTAATCTGTCCCGCTGTTTGTCAATGGGCTCAGACAGGAATGAAAATGGAGATGAAGATACCAACTAAATGGAAACCAAAGCTCAACTGGGAACAACCGATATGTGCATAAAGTCTACCAAGTAGGAAGAATTAAAGATGAAAAACATCATCGACGACAAAAGTGAAGATCTCGAGAGAACAAAGGAAGAAATGGAAAAGCTCAAAATTAAAATAGACGAACAGCAACGGAAAAGAACGAAAATGGAACAAGTGTTAAGGCTTAAGAGGCAAAGTCTTTTGACATTGCAACTCACTCACGAAGCAATACAGCTGGAGTCACAAGCATTTGAAGAATCAGCTGCTTATGCACTTAGCTGCATCAGTAATAAATTGGAGGCTGCGGGTAATATTGTAGTCCAATTGACTCGAGGTGAATTTCACACGTTAAAAAGAAGGGCTAGTGAACACACTTTACTAGCAGAAAGGCATACATAGGTATCGATGGAGCAAAAACTTGTGGCGAAAAACAGTCGGGATTCCTCCTTTAGAAGGTTCAAGCAACTATATTCCCACCATGGATCGAGCAAAAGAAGAATGGAAGAAAACAGAAGACCACATAAAGGTTTTGGGGATCTTACAGGAGAAATATGCAAGTATCAAAGAAGTTACTCCCAAGAAATCAACAAAAATTCAAAAGTAACAATGGCGACTTTTTAGTCAAGAAAAAGAAAAAGAATCCATTTTCTATCAAATAAGGAGTTGTTTTGCTCAAAAATTTAGAAAATATTTTAAATGATTTGCATTGCACTCATCACACTCTTTTTCCTTTTACAAGCAACAATTAATGTGATAAATAATTTTCAGTGCATATATTTTGTACTTTGTATATTTCGAACGAAATGCTGCAAGTTTCATTTGAAAAATAGGAAGTATGTCAAAAAATCATAAATGAAGATTATAAAAAAAAATCATAACATCATTTGTTAGAATTTGGGTGTGATCCAAATTCATTTTTGAAGTAATTGAATAATTCTAATTGAAGTACACGTTAAGAAAAATTTAGTTTGGAATGCTTTTGGAATTTTATTCGAGTTGAAATTCTATTTGGAAGCTCTATTGGAAGTTTGGCTAGGAAAAGGACATTGACATAAAGAAAACAAATTGAAAAAAAAGAAAAAAAAAAAAAGGAAGGGCAGAGTGCCCTGCGCCACGGCACCGACACTCTTGTTTGATGTTTTGCCCTGGGTGCCGGTGGGCTCCAAGAGGTGGCATTGTCTGTTCTGGAATTTCGAGTTTTCTCTCATTTTTGTTTTGGACTTGATTTTTTGGTATCCTACTTTATCAACAACTCTACTAGGATGGTTTGGACGTCCCCTACATATTCCCTATAAATATTAGACCCTTCTATACAATTTTATAATGTGAGAAAAGTGATTACTAGCTTTTAGCATAATTGTAATACTTCTCCATCTTCATTATTTATGGTGTAATAAAATCTCCCAATTCCTCTACCATATTTTCTTGTCTTCTTTTATTCTTTTACTTGTGATCAAACACTTCATTATTGTGTTATATAACTTCAACATCTCAATCTGATAGTTGGTTTCGTATCAAGTGGTATTGAGCAATACGTGATCCTTGAATTCCCAACAATTGGTATTAGATATTCTGGGCATAATTAACACAACAAGTGATATATCAGAGCCTAGATTCAACAGTTCCGCAATAACGCATGGTTTGGTTTGTTCGAAATTTTTGTTCGTAATGACTTCCATGAAATATGACATTATAATTTTGGATCGGAGCACTAGATTTTCGTCATGACAGGTTAAGATGCGTGCAGTACTCTCACATCAGGATTTGGAAAATGCGTTGCTGGAAATTGACAATATGCCTGCAACTTTAATCGCGAATGAGAAATTATGGAATGATAAGAAGACGGCTTCTCACATTTATCTTCATCTATCGAATACCATTCTTCAGGACGTTTTGAAAGGGGGTTCAACAACTACTTTATGGTTGAAGTTGGAGCAATTGTATATGACTAGAATTTTGACAGCAAGTTGCATCTCAACCAGCATTTATACTCTCATTGAATAGTAGAAGGATGATCATGGGAAGATCACGTCTGTATTTATGGAGATAGTTGCTAATTTGAAAACTTTGGAAGTGACGTATGATGAAGAATATTTGACCTTGATCCTATTGTGTTTGTTGCCCGCTTCACTTTCTTCATTTAGAGACACGATCTTGTATAATCATGATACTCTTACCATAAAGGAGGTGAATGATACTTTGTTTTCAAAAGAGAGGATGAAACATCTGGTGTCTAAGGCTAGAGATGGAGAAAGCCTTATTGCTCATGGTGGTTCTGGAAGGGACATATCGAAGTCTAAGTTCAGTAATCAGATTTGTAAATTTTGCAAGAAGAAGGGATACATGAAAAGAATAAAGAAAGGTTGACTGAAAGTTGATATGGGAAGTAACCAGAGAATTCAGGTGAAGCAGACTTCGCAGAGAACATTGTAAGTGAGGGTGATCTCTTAGCTACTTCTGACATAGAGTCTAAACCAGAAGAGGTTTGCATTCTGGATTCAGCATGTGTGTTTCATATGTGTCCTAATCAGTGTTCTAAAAGGCGCGCCTAGGCCTAGGCGTGAGGCGAGGCCAAAACGTCAAGCCTAATGGGTTAGCGCCTTATTTGGACAAGGACTTGTTTATTACATATGAAACCGTTTTCAAATATGTCGTGATTATGGAAAACAACATACCTTGTTAGGTTGTTGGAATTGGTACGGTCAAATTGAAACTATTGGATGAGATAATTAGAACACTTAACCATGTTCGACATGTTTCGAATTTGAAGAATAATTTTATCTCGTTGTCTATTCTTGATTCAAAGGGTTATGAATTCTTTGGTGGAGGTGGAGGTGGAGGTGGAGGTGAGGTTTTGAAAGTTTGTAAGGGTGCACGGGTTGTATTGGAGGGATATAAAATATCTCAGTTATACATCTTGCAGGGTTGTACATAATCTAGAAGAGTCAATCATCACAAGTTCAGTACCGTGGTGAACATTCAGTTTGGTATAATTCCTTTAGGAGCTGGTAAATGGTCGGATTTGAATAATATAGCTCAGTGAGTTTAGGAGATATGAATAATGCCACTTTGTCACCATTACCTGCAGTGCCATTGTATTAAATTTCTAGGGATGGACCTAGTGGAAAAATGTATGTAGATGCTGATTTTATTGAGCATGCTTTCAGCGTAATAGAATGTGTACAATTTAGTAAGGGACCAGCTTTAGAAGTATTTGTGTTTAATTCTGCTTTGGGGTGTGTTACAGCCCTGCTTGGTGAATTTTAAAATCATTACGATGTTTTGAAAATTTGAGGTAATCCTGTAGAGTGGTGTTTGGATTCGTTGGAAGATGTAGAATATTTTGTATTTTGTTGGAGAAATCAGTTTTGATTATTATTGAAGAGTCAGTTCATTCCTTATAAACATATTTTCTTCTCCAGGTGGAGAAAATTTTGGAGCTTTGTTCGTTGCAGTGGAATTCATGATAAAGTGGATATTGTAAGAATTTGGGTGTGACCCCAATTCCTTGTTGAAGTAATTGAAAAATTTTAATTAAAGTGCACGTTAAGAGGAATTCAGTTTGACATGCTTTTAGAGTCTTATTCAAGTTGAAATTCTATTTGGAAGCCCTATTGGGAGTTTGACTAAGAAAAGGATTTTGAGATGAAGAAAACAACTTGAAAAAAAAAAAGAAAAAAAGGAAGGGCAGAACTCCCGACGCCGAATATGGGGTGCCGGCACCCTGTTAGGTGTTTTGCCGCGGGTGATGGGGCGCCCAGTGGGGATGCCCGGAGGTAGCGCAACTCTGTTTCGAGTTTTGCATTTTTCTCTTCTTTTTCGTTTTCGACTAGATTTTTTGGCATCGTATTTCATCAATAACTCTACTATGAGGGTTTGGACGTCCCCTACATATTCCTTATGAATATTAGTCTCTTCTATACAACTTTATAATGTGAGAAAAGTGATTACTAACTTTTAGCATTATTGTAATACTTCTCCATCTTATTGTGGTGCAATAAAATTTCTTAATTGCTCTTCCATATTTTCTTGTCTTCTTTTATTCTTTTACTTGTGATCAAATATTTCATTATTGTGTCCTATAACTTCAACATCTCAATCCAATGGTTGGTTTCACATCAAGTGGTATTGAGTAATAAGTGATTATTGAATTCTCAACAATTGGTATCAGAGATTTTGGGCATAATTAACACAATATCTTTCTTTTAATCATGAAAAACTAAGAGGTACATGTACATAAACAGAACGGGAAAACACACAAACAAGAGAAGCTACATAGTAAAAATTGAATCATAATCACCTAGATTTGAAATCTATACTTAAGCCTTCTCAAAAAGTAATTACTAGTTCATTATCATTCATTTAGGTAGGCAAGTTTCTAATTTACCATTCTACAATTTTTTCTTCTCTCTCCATCTTGTCCTCTAAGAACACCAATATTACCCATCTTCACCATAGATATACCAAAATCTCTTGAGAAAAGGAAAGGGAATTTGCTATACTTCATGACAAACGAAGCGGTGATATTGTCACCCATAAGGGCTTGGTCCGACTGTAGGAGACCGGAATTGTTTACAAGATTCTTGAAATAGTAGTTGTCGAACTTATTTTTCGTAGTAGGATCCAAGGAAGCCAAATTCATATCAGAATTGTTTTGATTCAGACAGATTCATCACGGCCCTATATAACCAAAAGTAGAGAAATTATTAAATATAAAGTATAATCATGGAATTAGTCAAGGCATGTTGTCCAATATTTACAACTTTTTGGAATAACTGACTATTGTAGTTAATGAAGTTTGGTCTAGAGTCTCAGAAGTAGATGACTAGATGGTGTAGCGTGTAAAGTTTAATAGACAATAATATAGTTTAGATTGTTGTGGGTTCCAATTTATAGAGACCCTTTCTTTGTCCAGCCCAACCAAACTTAGGGCTGTTGTAACTTGTAAGCATGTTTAGAAAGTGTTTATGGACCATTTGAAATATAAATAAATAGATAATAAATATTAGATAAAATCACGTTTGAGATCAAATTTAGAGCTCGATTTATGATTATTAAACAATCGAAAGTAGGTTTAAGTTTTTAATAAATTCCAACACCAATTACCAAAGAATTGAACCATCTGACAACAGATTTTGTGAAGCAATAAAATTGCAGTTTTTTCGATTCTACTTCCATTCTCCAATATCGATTTTCTTAGCACATTAATACAAAACCAAGTCTAAGTGAGTATAGTAAAAGTGATTTGAGTATTATATCTACAATATATTAATATGTTGTATTTATTATTTACCCTTATTTAAAAGTTATTTTAATTGACAGTTACATATGAATATATATAAGTTTAGATAAAACGGAATACCAAATGATTCAATTTATTACCTCTAAATAAGATAATTAATAATTATTATTGCTTTAAAAAATTAAGTCGACCAATTTCCACTGAACACAATTATTACTAATTATTAGTATACAATTATATATAATTCACTACAGAATACCAAATGTATGTTACCTACGTAATACCAAATGATTTAATTTATTTCCTCTAAATAAGATGATTAATAATTATTATTGCTTTCAAAAATTAAGTCAATTATTTTC